AAAGATCTTAAACAATGAAAACAATTCTGGCTGCCTAATATATTCTCCAATAGAAACCAATGGTTTATAATTTTCATGAACTCTAATTACTTGAATTTAAAATTTAATTTCATATTTATAGAATCATAAAAGTAATTTACAAGTTGCACTAAATTATCTGGAGTTTCTCTTTCTTACTAAAGAAGCCTTCGGCGTACATTTTACTTTGGCCATAATTAGGGTAATTTCTCACTCTTACAGGTTGTATATGACATCTATATGATTATATTTCCACATATGAATGCAAGCTATGCATTTCTCATAAATGTCCAAGGGGAACCTGGGAATGAAGCCTTCTTGCTCCAACTACAAGAACCATAGCTCACGTAGCTCTTATCCTCCTGGAGGATTTCAACTACCTGGATGTTTGCTGGGAAAGCCACTTGGCAGGCAGTAAGCAATCCAGTAAACTTCTGGAGTGTATGGAGGACAATTTCCTTGTCCAGGTATTAGACAAACCAATCAGAGGAAAAGCATTACTGGACCTGATGCTTACCAATGTGGAGAAGCTCTTTAAAGAGGTTAAGATTGGAGGAAGCCTGAGTTGCAGTGATTATGCCCTGGTTGAATTTGTGATCTCAAGGTATATGGGCCTGGCTAAGAGCAAAGTCAGGACCCTGAACTTCAGAAAAGCTAACTTCCAGCTGTTCAAAGAATTAGTGGACAACATTCTGTTGGACGCAGTCCTTAGGGACAGAGCTTCTTATCAGAGATGGCAACTCTTTTTCCTTAGACAACAATAGAATCAAGCAATAAATGCAATAAATCAAGCAGGGAAGGCAGGTAAACCATGTCTCAACAAAGCCCTGCTTGCCAAACTTAGGCAAAAGAAAGAAATGCACAGACAATGGAAACAGGTCCATGTGCCCTGGAAAGAGTACAGAGATGCTGTCCAGACGTGCATGGATGGGATCTGGAAAGCCAAGGCGCTGACAGAACTAAACTTGGAGAGGGATGTAAAGAATAACTAGAAGGGGTTCTACAGGCACATTGGCCACAAAAGACTAAGGAGATCAAACCCACTCTCACAAATGAATATGGTAACAACATATGTGGGGAAGGCTGAGGTACTTAACAACTTCTTTGCCTTGGTTTTCACTGGTGGTCAGGCTTCCTACATCTCTCAAGTCCCCAAACCTCTAGGTGGGGGCTGGGGGATCAAAGTCCAACTCATTGTAAGTGAAGATCAAGTTTGGGACCTCCTGATGCAACTTAACAACTACAAGTCTATGGGGCCTGATAACATCCATCCCAGGCTCCTGAGGGAATTGGCTGATGTAGTTGTCAAGCTATTCTCCATCATATTCGAAAAATCATGGCAGTCAGATGAAGTCCCCAGTGACTGGAAAATGGGAAACAAAAGGGTAGAAAGGAAGACCCAGAGAACTACAGACAGGTGAGACTCATCTCTGTGCCTGGTAAGATCATGAAATGGATCCTTCTGGAGGCAATGTTAAAACCCATGTAAGACATGGAGGTGGACTGGGACAGTCAGCGTGGCTTCACCAGAGGCAAATCGTGCCTGACTAATCTGGTGGCCTTCTATGATGGAGTGACTGCATCAGCTGACAAGGGAAGACTGACCAGTGTCATCTACCTGGATTTCTGTAAGGCTTTTAATACAGTTCCACATGGCATCTTAATCTCTAAATTGGAAAGATAGGGATTTGAAGGGTAGTCTATCTGGTAGATAAGGAATTGCCACAATGACCGCATCCAGAGAGTAATGGTCAATGGTCCTATGTCCAGGTGGAGGCCAGTGATGAGTGGTGTCCCTTAGGGATCTGTTTTGGGACTGGTGCTTTTCAATATCTGCATCAATGTTGTAGACAATGGGATCCAGTGCATCCTCAGAAAATTTGTAGATGACATCAAGCTGAGTGGTGTAGTTCATGTAATAGAAGGAAGGGATGACATTCAAAGGGATCAGGACAGGCTGGAGAAATGGGCCCACATGAACTGCATGAAGTTCAACAAGTCCAAGTGCAAGGTGCTGCACCTGGGTTGGGGCAATCTCAGACAGGAGTACAGACTGGGAGAAGAACTCATTGAAAGCAGCCCTGTGTAGTGAGACTTGGGGATTCTGATGGATGAAAGGCTCGACATGAGTTGGCAGTGTGCCCTTGCAGCCCAGAAGGCCAACTGCATCCTGTGAGGTTCCATCTGGAGTTCTGCAGCCAGGTTAGGGACCCTCAGCACAGGAAATATAAGGACCTGTTATAGTGAGTCCAGAGGCAGGCCACAACGATGATCAGAAGGTGGGAGCACCTCTCCTACAGGGCTGGGGATGTTCAGCCTGAAGAAGAGAAGGCTCTGGGGAGTCCACACTTCAGCATTTCAATACTTAAAGGAGTCTTATAAAAAGGATGGAGAGGGACTCTTTTCTTGGGCAGATAACAATAGGACGAGGAGGAATGGTCTTCACAGAATCACAGAATCACAGAATTTCTAGATTGGAAGAGACTTCAAGATCATCGAGTCCAACCTCTGACCTAACACTAACAGTCCCCACTAGACCATATCCCTAAGCTCTACATCTAAACGTCTTTTAAAGACTTCCAGGAATGGTGACTCCACCACTTGTCTTAAACTAAAAGAGGATAGATTTAGATTAGACATTAGGAATAACTTATTCACTGTAATGGTAGTGAGACACTAGAACAAGTTGCCCAGAGATGTGGATGCCTCATCCCTGAAGGTGTTCAAGGACATGTTGGATGGGGTCTTGGCTACCTATGGCAGGAGGGCTAGAACTAGATGATCTTTAAGGTCCCTTCCAACCCAAGCCATTCTATGATTCCATGATAAATGTGCTTTAGAAAAGTTGTTATTCTTGCCTTGCAAGGCTTGAATTTATAATGAAGATATGAATGTATTCATAGTATACTTTTTAATACCCCTTTCTAATGTATTACAGAAAAATATAAAAATATTTTTATGGTGTGACTTTTTATCATTCCTTCAGTTACTGGACTGTGAGGAAATCATCTGTGATTCTGTAAGGCATACATGGTAATTTTTAATAAACTCTGAATTTAACAGAGCTTCATACAACAGTTGCAGCTTAATACTACTACTGTATGCAACTGTATAAAACTTAGTGAAGTAAATACATCTATGATTTATCAAAATGTAGCTGTTAGACAACTGTGAAACCACAAGTAATGAATAAGTCACCTAATGATGATTAAGGAAAACAAATAGATGCAGGAAGGGGGAAAATGGATTTTTTTATCTATGGAAAACTGTTGAAAGGATAGAAAATGAAAGACAGGGCTTAATGGTCACATTTCAGGGTGGAGAAGAATCAGTGGTGTTTTTTTCAGGGTGCTATGCTATTCTGTTCAACATTTTCATCAGTTGGTTTTAGAAGGGAGTACAGAGTGAAATCTCTGAGCTGCAGGAGAAGCTAAGGTATTTCACACTGATGGTGAGGAATGCTGGAAGAAAATTATGAAATGAATGAACAGGTAGAAATGTGGCAGTTGAACTTCAGTTTAGATATTTGTAGGAAGGTGCACGTTGGGGAAAATAATTTAAGTATGATTACCTTATGCTGAATTTGGAAATAACAGTTACAAACCAGGAATGAAAGCCTGAAGCAATCAGTGCCAGTTCTTTGAAATCTGTGCAACATGTAGTGTTAGCCAGAAAGGCCAATAAAATATTCAGTATCCTGAAGTACTATTGGATGTCATCCTACAAAGTATGAAAGAGAAACCATAATTTTTAGCCTGTTTAAAACCTTAATGCACTTTTTTTTTTTTTGGTACTGTTTGCAGTTCTCATTTTCAGAACAGTAGTCAAAGAAAATACAGAACAAGGCAAGGGAATGAGAGGATACTAAAATGAGTGGGATTCTTTATTGTGACTAAAAGTCCAGGGGGAGGGAGGAAAAGTTTTGTGAGGATGTGCCTGAGATGTAGAAAATCATAAAGCAGTGAATGAAGTGAATGCAAAACTGTTGTTAACCAAATTCCACAAAACTGGGAAAAAAAGGACATAGGTAGGTCAGATAGTATCATTATGTTCATGAAGTGATTTAGGTGCACTGGTGGACTATAGGTCCATAATCACATACCACAGTGAAGTATGAGTGAGTGACCAATGTTGGGGTCCAGGTTTAAATTTTCTCTCTAAATAACATCTGATATTTCTGTCAAAGACAGAATAGTGAGATGAAGAGACTGTATGTTCTGTCTTGAAAATGATTCTTTAACAGACATTATTTAGCCTGTGAGGCAACTGGTCTTGCCAATTCTAGATGTCTGATGTCTGATGACACTCAGTTTAACAAAAGAACAAACAGTACTAGGAAAAATGCTGTGTATTTTCTATGGCAATCTTTCTGTTGGCATCCCCTGCATGCTAGTGTTTCCTGGATCAAATGAAATGAAACTAACTTCCAATGCTTTTTTCATAGGTAGGCAGAAAGGTCATATTTATTATGTGATACTAAAATCAAGAATAAATATCATAATCACTAATTATTAGCTCAGAGTTTCCAAAAGGAAAAGATTATGTATTAAATGAGGTGTGAATGTACTGTTAGCTGTGGTAGTTGTAGACATTAGACATCAGTATTTCTGTAGTTCTTCCAGATGTCATGCTAATAAAGGTGGTAAGTGAATAAATACCTTAATAATTCTAAGAAGACTGTAAGAGAGAATTTGATTGTAAGATATTTTCCTTTTGTAATTCTAGCAGCAACAGAACAAGTACATACCTCTATAAACAATCAGTCTACCTGTGGTGCTGATAAGGTGGCAAATGGTAAAAGAGAAAAGGCTGTCATTAGTGCTGTCTAGACTGAACTTGTTCTGATGCTAGTTCCAGGATCTGTCAGAGTTCAGTACACTATAGATAACCAATTAAAGAGTGATATTTCCCAGAAGACAATCAATTCAGCCAAAAGTATTAGGTCAAAGGACTTATTCTTGAAATGTTATCCTTACTTGCAGGTAAACTGACAGAAACAGAATGACCTTCAAATAACTTCTAGCCTGCATTTGGAAAGAAACAGTTCTCTGGAGCTGACCAATGGCACTATGGGACATCTGCTTGAAGGTCACAAACACAATTTATATGATTTACTTGGCACAACGAAGTGTATAATATATATATGAATGGTGCAACATCAAAATATAAAATCTTGACTCTACAAAGCTGCACTGTTATCCTGAGCTTCAGGTAACAACAAACTTGTGTAACTCTTTCTTTTGGGGAAAGGAAACATTAATTAACATAGTATATTACTTCTCCAGAATTGTCCCTACTTCAACCAGCCTCATTAATGCATGTTTATCTAGAAAATGTATATTTGCAGGACAGGAATTTCTTCAAACCATTTCATCAGATAATGACATAGTATCAGATTATAAGATTATCAGAGTATAAAATTAACCTTAGAATCATAGAGTGGTTTGGATTGGAAGGGACCTTAAAGATCATTTAATTCCAGAGACACCTTCCACTAGGCCAGGTTACTCAAAGCCCCACCCAACCTGGACTTAAACACTTCTAGGGATGAGACAGCCACAACTTCTTGGGGAAAACCTGTTCCAGTGCCTCACCACCCTCCTAGAAAAGAATTTATTCCTAATGTCTAATCTAAATCTCACCTTTTTTGGTTTAAAACCATTGTCCCTTGTCCTACTGCTACACTCCCTGATAAAGAATCACTCCCCAGATTTCCTATAGCCTTCCTTCAAGTACTGGAAGGCTGCTATAAGCTCTCCCTCTAAGCCTTCTCTACATTCACTGGTATTGTAGGTGTTTTGGCTGGGTATATGAAATTAGCAAATTCAGAGCCAAATTTCATACTTGTATTGCATACTGCAGTCTACGTTCATATTTTGCATTTTATATTTGTATTTGCATTTATCTGACATTTTAAAAGGGTTGTTGTTGTTGTTATTATTATTATTATTATTATTATTATTATTTACAGGGATATTATTATTTCCAGGGAATGGAAAATTTTCATTAATGCTATGAGGACAACACAAAATCATGCACCTCAAATATGAATGCATCTACTGCTTTAATGGAGAACATAGAGGTGAAGTCCAATAAAACCAATATGCTTGTCTTCTCAGGGAACATTGTGTCAAGTTTTGAACATGAAAATAAGGGAACAGAACTGCCATTTATGTTAATGTACTAGTGTTTTTTTCTCCCTTTATTTCTCTCTCCCTCTGTTCCTTTTTTCAATTTCTATTTACACAGTGCTTACACTATTTAATAAGTGTAACAACTCAAAATAACAAAGGCAGACCTCCTCTAATGTTTGTTTTCCCCTTAAAAAATGAAGGAAAATTAGAGAAAAATTTCTATACAAGCTAACTTCTTCCATTTGTTTAATAGTCAGATATCTCATTCTTAAATCTGAAACAAAATTGTGCCTAGGATACTCATGATATAGCTATATAACCCATGTTTCCTAGGCATCTTGTACTTGCTCAAAAGCAATCGGCTATCATCAATATATTCTAAATAACTGCAGTGACTTCAGGATTTATTTGCATTTGTACTGGTATTTTTTTTCCAAGAAAATTAATATTTCTTTTATTCCATGTCCAGCACAGCTGGGTCTCCAGTCTTATGTTGGATGCAGGGTAGAACATTTTTGTTTATCAGTAAATCTTCCTTATAAGAGTGCAATAAAATTAAGGCAATATTTTGGTATTATGCTAGTAAGAAATACCAACCTGAGAATTCGTTTTCTGCCTCCTATTCTCTTCTTTCTTACCCCAATTAACATTCCTATTAATTTCTAATATTGTCCAAACTAGAGATGAATAGTTTGTTATACTAATATTTTATACCAGATTAAGTAACAGAAAAACATCAGCCTTAAATTAATACAATTCCATAGAAGGGTGAGAATGCTTTTTATACAATTTGAACATTATATACTTTTCAATCAATGCCATATTAGCATCAGGAGAATCCTTTCCAATGTTGCCATTATATTTATTATTAATTAATTTTATAATTTTAATTATTAATTAATTTAATAATATAATTAATTTTTGGTTTTAAATTCTGGAAAGAATATACAATCTGTTAAAGAAATAGTTTTGTGTTTATCCTATGAAACACTTCCAGAAGAGGTTTCCCAGTTCCAACAGAACTTCTAACGCACAGAACTGATCCCACCCTCCATCATATTTCTCTGGCTGATCTCAGTTCACATCTGTGGAATTCTTGTGTGCTCCATTGAGCTGTTTCCTCAGACTAATAGTTTCAGAGTGTTATTAGGCATTCCAATAATCCAGTTAGATTAATTTTTGATCTCAACTTTTTTTTTTTTTTTTTTGAGAAAGCCAAAAACCTAGTATAAATATCGATGCCTAGTATAAATGTCTACTATAAATGTTGACGTGTCTAATATAAATGTTAAGTCAAGGATAATGTTGATAAATATAAATGTAACATTATATATTTATAGTATAAATATAGTGTCTAGTATAAATATTGATAAATAACATTTTATATGGCTGTTCTATGGTATCTATTCTCTGCAAATACACACAAAGAATGCAAACGTGTTTGCATCAGAAGTTTCATGCTAATGTAATCTGATGTTACACGTGTTGGTCTAAGTTTCTGGCTGAAGGTTTGTCCTGGTTTCAGTTAGGACAGAGTTAATTTTCTTCCTAGTAGCTGGTAGAATACTTTGTTTTGGCTTAGGATGAGAAGAGTGCTGATAACACACTGATGTTTTAATTGTTGCAGAGCAGTGCTTACACCAAGCCAAGGATGTTTCAACTTCTCACTCTGTCCTGTCAACAGGCAGGCTGGGGGTGCAGCAAGAGCTGGGAGGGGGCAGACCCAGAACAGCTGACCCAAACTGGCCAAAGGGGCATTCCATACCATCAGACTTCATGCTAAACAATATATAGGGGTGGCTAGCTGGGAGGAGGGGGTCAGACTGCTTGGGGTTAGGCTGGGCATTGGTCAGCGGGTGGTGAGCAATTGTATTGTGCATCATGTCTTTTATACACATTATTAGTAGTAGTACTATTATCATCATTATTGTTATTATTATTGTCCTGTCTTAATAAACTGTCTTTATCTCAACTCACAGGCTTCACTTTCCTATTTCTCTCCCCCATCCCAGAAAGGGAGGGGGAAGAGTGAGCAAACGGCTGTGTGGCGTTTAGCTGCCGACTGGGTTAAACCAAAACAAAATTGAACACATCTGCAAATATTAACATATTGAAAGGCAGATTAAAAAAAAAATGAGAGACTATGTTAATAGTAAAGAAACCACGATATGATAATTATAAATACAAAGAATGTTTTTCTAAAGTGGAAGCCTAGATAACTGCTTCAATACCTTGAGACCCTTAGAAATCAAGCTTCATCATGTGAACAAACACAAGTAAAACTTTTCTTCCTAATCTGACTAAAATATTTTTATCTGAATCAACTCTAGTTTAGGATCTCCTTTATTTCCTTTCTCTTCCTACAAGTCTGAAAAACATTAATACAGTCCAGATCACTTGCTGATAAGGTAATTCTTTATGAGTTATACCTTTCAGGTTAGTTTGCTTTTCTCATTTGTACAGGTGAAAACTAGTACTAAGAGCAGAAAGTCCAATGTTCCTTCTGTTCTCTCTGGTCAGACTGTTTCCTACCATCTGTTTCAAACACTTATAAAGTATTTTCTGATCTCAGAATATGTATTCACATATGAAAATGGAAGCAGAACTTGATGAAGGTTTGATGTAGTTTTATTTATTTATTTATTATTGTTTTCTTTGTTTGTTTCTTTGCTATAAATCTATGAGGATTTTTGTCTCCTGGAAGGATAATATTGAGTATATGAAATAAAGCAAGATGTTAAAGTAAAGCAAGAGTTAAAAAACATGGCATTTTTGTCAGGCTTTTACACCGTCTTAAATACAATCTTGCCTTTTTTAATAGGAGACATCAATGTATCTTTTTTTAGAGAATCCAGTATTACTTTTTCCCTAGATCTACAAAAGCTTTATATTTTCTAGTTTTGGCCAAAAAACAACAATAAAATGTTGTTCTTGTGATTTTTACAGCCTGGCTGGAAACAGGAATTACCAAGAATCTAACGCAGACGGTTTCCTCATCTTCTATCCTAATACTGCAAAGCTAAAAATTTTAATTAAGTCCAGTAAACATAACAAATTCTTTGTGCTAAGCTCATGCAAATGTCTTCTATCTGGAGAGTCAGAAAGGAGTTTCCATATTTGTTTCATTTGTATGTTTTAAAAAAAAAAAAAGTGCTATGAATTTGAATTAAAAAAAGTATTAACTTTGAAGTAATTTATGAATTTGGCACCAAGTTCCTTTGCCAGTCCATTAAAGGCCTTATATATACTGTGTGTGGCTTCTTGTGAACTATAAAAATAAAATTATTTTTAAAAGTTGTCTGTCAAAAGAAAGAAAATAAATAATACACATCTGCATATTTTAAAGTGTATTAACTTAGCTTTTGCAATTGCAAGGTTCAGTTTATTTCACATAAACATATACATATGGTTGGAAAGCTGCCAGGCAGAGAAGGACCTGGGAGTATTGGTGGATAGTCAGCAGAATATGAGCCAGCAGTGTGCTCAGGTGGCCAAGAAGGCCAACAGCATCCTGGCTTGCTTAAGAAGCAGTGTGGCCAGCAGGTCTAGGGAAGTGATTGTCCTCCTGTACTCAGCTCTGGTGAAGCTGCATCTCAAGTACTGTGTTCAGTTTTGGGCCCCTACAAAGCTGGTGAGGGGTCTGGAGAACAAGTCTTACAAGCAGCAGCTGAGGGAGCTGGGTTTGTTCAGCCTGGAGGAAAGGAGGCTCAGGGGCAACCTTATTGCTCTTTATAAGTACATTAAAGGAGGCTGTAGTGAGGTGGGGGTTGGTCTATTCTCCCACGTGCCTGGTGACAGGACGAGGGGGAATGGGCTAAAATTGTGACAGGGTTTTTTTACATTGGATATTAGGAAGAACTTCTTTTCTGAGAGGGTTGTTAGGCATTGGAATGGGCTGCCCATGGAAGTGGTGGAGTAACCATCCCTGGAGGTCTTTAAAAGATGATTAGATGTTGAATTTAGCAATATGGTTTAGTGGAGGATTTGTTAGTGTTAGGTCAGAGGTTGGACTCAATGATCTTGAGGTCTCTTCCAACCTAGACAATTCTGTCATTCTGTGATATTAGAGGCAAGTAGCAGTGTCTATGGGTTTTTCTTAGCATGACCAGTAGATTAGGATTTATTTATTTTGGCAGGGAAAAAACAAACAAAACCAACTGATCTAAGAAACAGACATATGGAGTGTACAGTTTATTTTAATAATTGGTATTTAGGAAATGAGAGAAGAGAATCCATTCTGGGCAAGAGACAGAGAATGTGTGGACAGAGGGAAAAGGACAAGAAGGAGAGGAGTGGGAATGCCATAAGGAATTATTAGAGGATAGATAAAGAGGTGCTCTTGTACCTGATGGTTAGGTGATACACATTTGTGTAAGAGAATAAGGAAAAGAAAGTGATAATATTACTGGAAATTGTAATATTCCTTATAAACAGTAAGGCAATAAAGAACTGAGTCACACTAGTTAGGTTATTAGAGCAAAGTCAGTGAAAGAAACAGAGGTCATTTGGTTACGGAAGCCAGCACAAGAGACAAAATGGAGACGTTATATAATGGGGGATTAGACAGTAAGCTGAAAGTAGATGAAAATACCTGGGAGGCAGAAGTAGAGCATTACTGAACATAGAGAAAGAAAGTGAAGAAATAGTAGGAAGGCAAACAAGATTTAAAAATCATGGCATTTCTGTCAAGCTTTTAGTTTTGAAACAGTAGTTTTGAATGCAATCTTGTTTTACTTAATAGGAAATATACCCTTCCTGAATAAAATTGAACGGTGTAGATAGTACTTCTGGTAATTCATATAAAAATCTGCTTTGGTTTACCTATGCTGAAATTGCAATACTAGTGGTCTCTTACCTTCTTAGCCTGCCTAACCATATTTCTAAGAGCTTTGAGCCAATTCAGCCCACCAAAAGTAATTTTAGGTTAAGGAAAAAAAAATATAAACATCTGGTTTGTGTTAAGATTTGAATATTAATGTTTAATTGAAA